TATATATATATATATATATATATATATATATATATATATATATATATATATATATATATATATATGTATGCAACTATGTTAATTGTACTAAAATAACTTTGTCAATGCTTTGGCATAAGGTCACAAAAGACATGTGCAGTCATACAGAGTTATAATTTAAGCATGTAATTTGAAGGCATTAGAGCCAGCACATATAACAAAACGAACATGTAAATATTTTGAATCGTGATTGACATAAAACCTATAGGCTATACTATGGCAATGGGCAATGACAGAATCAATGCAAATATAATTTGTCAAACATCTGTATGAATTGAGACGCGTGTACCAAAATGATATAATACGCGAACGTTTATTTACACAAAGTTAAATATCGTGCAAAGTCGTTAAAATATATTTATATAAACACGTACCGTTAGCATGCACTGCATATTTTCAATTTATGTAAAGGGAGAGTTCATAGTAAAGCTTTATTAGCACATACACTAAAATGTATCCATTTTATTTTGACAAATACATTTGATCTGTGCTATGTTAATATATACGAAGGACGGTTTTTAAAAATCACAATGTGTTAATAATATCACTGCGATCAGTGATCACATATATTTAGCAAGAAACAGACGACAACAAGAGTCTAAATCACTGGTCTAAATGCCGCGAACCATATCCATATATAACGTTTTTTCGTAGTGTAATTTATTTCAAATATAGAACTTCGAAAACTGCCAAATGCGATCATTAACTAAATTGACAAGTTCTATTATCTTTAGAAATAACGTTAGTTAATAACTCTGCCCCACATACCCACCCTAACAACAAATTACGCTATATCCCCAAATCTGGGATGTCCCGTGACCATACCCGAACAGGGTCTCGCCGGAGCCGGTGTTTGGGGGGCGTGGCGGAGGTGAGACCCTGTGAAACAGGTTGCTGGACGGAAAGGAAATGCACTTAAAAACGCAAGCGGTAATTTCGCGCGTTAAAAGTCGATCGCGCGACATTTTGCACTGAATGGTACGGTGACTCACAAGGGCACCGTCATTAATAAATCAGATATCAAATTTAAATTCCTTACTTCAAATTCAAATTCCTTACTCCAAATTCAAATTCATCACTCCAAATTCAAATTCATCACTCCAAATTCAAATTCATCACTCCAAATTCAAATTTCTCACTCCAAATTCAAATTCATCGTTGGTCAGCGGTAACAATCTCAAATAAACTGCAATACTTCATAGCTCTATTCGTTATAAAGTGTTCAGTGCTTCCACTTGCAAGGATTTTTCCCTGCACCACTTTGGTATAGATTTGTATTACAGTATGGTAGTTTTTCGCGTTTTTTGCCTTCACTACGTTTCTGACTGGGCCAGTTTTACAATCACAAAGATAGAAGCATACAAGAAGAATTTTGAGCAAAGACTTTGGAGTATTATGGCTTTATAACACCGAGAAACGGGATTTACAACTTTGAAGGAGTGGAGAACCTCAGACTTTGTTTATCAACACGAGCTCGTTTTGTTACTTTGATACAAAATCAACTCAAAATATACAAGAATTACTGTGACGAACTGTTCTCAGGAAATTTAACGAAATGAAAGCAGCTACATTATGAACAAAAGAGTAGTGAGGTTAGTTTTAAAATACCTTGAGGCTACTTTTATAATTTATATATGAATTAAAGAACATCAATAACAATCCATCAATAACATCGTATTGAGTCATTGTTAACTTAGATTAAAAAATATTTGATTGTCACTTGTCTTCCTACTGTAAAACATATAAAACTTCTCGACAAGTCGAGGGAATGCTCTTAAACAAAATTGACATTTAAAACTGAATTCATATAATTTATATAACTTAAAGAATTCATATAATTATAAAGTAGCCTGAAGGTATTTTAAAACTAACCTCAGTACGCGTTCGTTCACAATGTAGCTGCTTCAATTCTTCAAATTTCTTGAGAATATTCGTCCAGTATTATTCAGTAATTCTTGTATTCTCCTTAGGAGTGAAGAGCCTCAGACTTTGTTTATCAACATTCAACACGAGTTCGTTTTGCCACTTTCATACAAAATCAACTCAAAATATACAAGAACTACTGAATAATACTGGACGAATATTTTCAAGAAATTTGAAGAAATGAAGCAGGTACATTGTGAACGAAAGCGTACTGAGGTTAGTTTTAAAATACCTTGAGGCTACTTTTATAATGTAGCTGCTTCATTTCTTCAAATTTCCTGAGAATAGTTCGTCACAGTAATTCTTGTATATTTTGAGTTGATTTTGCATAAAAGTAGCACGACGAGCTTGTGTTGATAAACAAAGTCTGAGGTTCTCCAGTCCTTCAAAGTTGTAAATCCCGTTTCTCGGTGTTATAAAGCCATAATACTCCAAAGTCTTTGCTCAAAATTCTTCTTGTATGCTTCTATCTTTGTGATTGTAAAACTGGCCTGGCCAGAAACGTAGTGAAGGCAAAAAACGCGAAAAACTATACCATACTGTAATACTGGTAACGAGGTTGACTGTAATCTATAGCAAAGTCACACAGATGGACCACTTACGTCGGAAGCTTTGAAATTTCTGAGCGCTGGCCGCCATCTTCCTAGCCAGTCGATTATATTTTCTGGCCAATAAACGCGCTGTATTGGCTGGGGGCCCCGCCTTCTGGCCAGTCAGCTGCATATTTTTGCATAAAAAAGGCTACACGTTGCACGCTGAGTGGCCCTTCTGGTACTGATCTTTATTCTGTGCCAAAGGGTGCATGGAAAAATCCTTGCAAGTGGAAGCATTGAACACTTTATAACTAATAGAGCTATGAAGTATTGCAGTTTATTTGAGATTGTTACCGCTGACCAATGATGAATTTGAATTTGGAGTGAGAAATTTGAATTTGGAGTGAGAAATTTGAATTTGGAGTGATGAATTTGAATTTGGAGTGATGAATTTGAATTTGGAGTGATGAGTTTGAATTTGAAGTGATGAATTTGAATTTGGAGTGATGAATTTGAATTTGGAGTGATGAATTTGAATTTGGAGTGATGAATTTGAATTTGGAGTGATGAATTTGAAATTGGAGTGATGAATTTGAATTTGGAGTGATGAATTTGAATTTGGAGTAAGGAATTTGAATTTGAAGTAAGGAATTTGAATTTGATATCAGATTTATTAATGACGTTGCCCTTGTGGGCCACCGTAGAATGGAAATCCGCCTTAAGTGGGTGAGGGAAAAGTATCATATTACACGCTTCCTCTTCCGCAATTTACACTTGGATGGCAAGAAGTGTTCTGTACAATCAACTTTGAGAATCACATATACGTCAAAATACTATGAAATATGCTAAATAGATTTTTTATAGCAACAAGTCAGGAAATCAAGCAATAACAAGTATATGATCTTATGCTCTATTGTTGTTATGTTCTCTCGGGGCTTCCCACTTGGTTGCACTTAAAGGCACTTTCATTTCACATGTTTCTGCTCTGCCTTTGGTAAATTTACATATTTATAATCTTATAATGTGTCACTAAATTGTTGGTGTCTGGAAACGGTATAAACGTTCATTGATTTATTTATTAATTTCAACAGAGGTCTCGAAAGCGACTGCATGTTTCGAAAGCGACTGCATAGGTCGTATATAGGCCGATTGTAGGGGCTTTGAGGTCTTTCGGCAAATGTAATTACACATTGGGACACTAGCCAGATACTCAAATGTACATGAATGTCCATTTTATTCATACTAAGGGCCTGTTTTCATCCCGCCTAAACGTGAAACGTACTCGCCTAGTGTTTATATGGACAAACCGGATGAAGCCATTTAAGTGATTGACGTCGTATTTTTGTTGCAATAAAGGCAGTTACGCATGCTCAAGAAGGAAAAGTTCATCCCGCCTGGCCGGGATGAAGTGTTTATATGGAAATTTTTCCTACCGGCTAGACGGGATGAAGTGTTTATACGGGAATTTTTCATCTCGTTTATATAGGCGGGCTCCCGGCATCTGTTGCCGAGATCCCGTCTAGGCCGAATAAGTGGCGGGATAATATAAATACTCTTTAGAATTAGTATTATGAGCGGGATTTCGGTAAGCATCCTGTCCCGCCTGGTCGGGATCATATAAACAGTCCCTAAAACTGTTAATTTACAGACTGTTTATATGCTACTAACTTTTAAAAAATATTGACGTTTATATTAAACATTGCCACTATAGGAAGGAGTGTGTAAGGTACAAATATTGTTAAATTAAAGAATCTGCAGTACACAGGTACAGAATTATAAGACAACTGTATGCTTTAATTTCCTTTTCTGTCTGCACGAATATATTGTTGAACATTTGAAGCTAAAATAATCATGGGCGTACCGGGCGGGGGGGCGGGGGGGGGGCAGTAGCCCCCCCCCAGTTTTTTTGGGCAGTCGGGCAATATTCGCTAAACAGTCGGGCAATTTTGGTTAATTAAAAAAATAAATGGGACGAATTCTGTAAATTTTGCGGAAAATTTTGTGAAATTTCCCAAAATTTTGTAGGTTCCGGACAATTATAGTGGGGGGGGGGGAGGTCGCCAAAAGAAATTCCGGAAAAAAAATTTTCGGTACTTGTCGGGCAAATTTCTTGCCGCCCCCCTAAATGTTTCCTTCCGGTACGCCCATGAAAATAATATTTTCTATTCACCCCGCCTTTTATACATTGCCACGTAAATAAAAGCAGATAAAGTTTTCCAAAGTATTTTCCTATTATACGTCCATGGTATAAATTGTGTCTACATTTGCTAAGGATATGTATACATAATTGATAAACACAATATACGCAGAAAGTCTCGCACAGACATAGCATTACTTTATGAGATTGTATAAGCAATTTAAAGTTTCTATTGATCTAAAATTGATAGGCATTTTGTCACTAGTGCGGCATAGATTGATGCTAAATGTATATTTAATTCTAAAAAGTCGATATGTCTCACAGCAGCTTGTGTTTATTTTAAAAATACAGGCTCACTGGATCTCATGCTACTCCATGACAAAATAAAATTTAGAATAGACCAACCTACAAAGATACTGGCAATGAAAGCTCTTTGTAATTATATAATAATTTGTTTTATTATAAGTAATAGCATGGCATTCAGGGCGATTAGTGATTAAATGTACCCGAAAGCCTCGAGAGGTTTAGTAAAAGTTTTACTAAACCTCTCGAGGCTTGAGGGACATTTCATCACTAATCGACCGTTATGCCATGCTATTACGTTGTGATACCATAGTTGCCGAGGGAATCCGCGCGTGGTGTGTTGCCTGTTTTAAATGCTGTTTGATTGTCTTATGATTGTGGTACGAACACTTTTCATATATATTATTATTATTATTATTAGGATTTTATTTAAAAACACGGAGTCCAATTCACATAGTGTGCTCTTCCCTGGAGCCGTGCAAAACTACCAAATATATGTAGATAACTATAATAAAAACAATTAAATAAGTAGCCTATAATTAGATTAATACAATTAAATATATACAATTAAAGAAGTATTTTATAAACTAAGCTATATGAGACTTATATTCAGCAATTGATTTAGCATTAATCGCTTCCACAGGCAAGCTATTCCACAGAACAGTTCCCCGATAAGTAAAGCTTTTTTTGAGAGCCTCCGTCTGAGGTCTAGGGACGAATTGTTTAGAACTAGAGCCTCGTAAATTATGGTTGTGAACCAGATTAACGGACGTAAATTTATCCGAAAGATAATCTGGAACCATCTTATTCATTGTTTTAAACATAAGCGTTTTAAATTGCTGAGATCGTCGTTCTTCTAGGTTTGACCAATTTAATTCACTTAGAACCTCGTGTGAGCGGACACTATAGTGAGAACCATTAATAATACGAGCGGCTCTGTTTAGCAATTGTTGGAGTTTTTGTGCCAGACCCTTACCCAAATTACCCCAAACACTACTGCAATAATCAAAATGTGGTTGAATCAAGAATTTGTAGATTAAAATTAGGATACGACGCGGAAGATATGATTTTAATCGCCTTAAAACTCCAATTATTTTGGTAATTTTTGAGGTAATTTGAGCAATATGTTCATCCCACATCAAGCACTCGTCCAGCTCCAGGCCCAAGCATTTGTATTTTTTAACTCGCTCAATGATATTGCCATCGATGGCCACTGTTGGTTGACTTGGTAAGGTAGCTAATTTGTGTCGAGTTGCGATGAACATACATTTTGTTTTAAGTGTATTTAGACTGAGCTTATTTATGTTAAGCCAATTTCTAAGCGAAAGTAAATCACCATTCATTACGAAGAGTAGTTGATTAATGTCGTTATCCGCATATGTCAAGCTAGTATCATCAGCATATAGATGTCCATCAGATATCAAGTTACAATTTGGTAAGTCATTAATGTACAACAAGAATAACAATGGTCCTAAAATGGATCCTTGAGGAACCCCACATGTAATATCAGAGCTATCAGATGGGATATTGTTAACAACAGTTATTTGAGTACGTCCCGTTAAATAATCACGGAAAAGTTCAATGGTCTTGCATTTAAAACCATATCGAGATAATTTATTTAGAAGAATTTCATGGTCAATGGTATCAAAAGCTTTTTTTAAGTCAATAAAAAGTATAGCATTGATTAAACCATTGTCCATATTAGAATACCATTTGTCAGTGATATCTAGCAGTGCTGTTAAAGTGGAATGCAAAGGCCTAAAACCAGATTGGGCATCTGAGAGAAGATTGTTATTACATAGGAATTCATAAGTTTGATCAAAGATCACTTTTTCAAACAGTTTTGCAACCACAGATAATACGGATATAGGTCTATAGTTATTGGGGTCCATTTTGCAATCTTCCTTATGAATAGGAGTGACCCTAGCTCTTTTCCAGTCATGTGGGACAGTGCCAGTATGGATTACCAAATTTATAATGTAAGTCAACGAGCTTATCGTGGTTGGCGCACTTGCTTTCAACAAACAAGCTGGAATGTTATCTAGACCATTAGCTTTACGTGTTGACAGTTTCTCAACTAACTTTGAAACTACTAACTCACTGACTATTAGAAGTTCAAATTCATTTTCAGGTTTGTTAATATGGTCATAGTTTGCATTTAAATTAACTGGGATTTTTGCCGCAAGTTTGGGTCCTATGCCTGTAAAATGCCTATTGAAGGCATTGCTTACCCCGAGCGGATCATTGATTACAGCATCATCAACGACGACTTTTTCCGTATGAGTAAGGTTTTTATTCTTGGATAGTATAGTATTTATACCATTCCAAGTTTTTTTGCAATCACCCAGATTATCATTAAAAAACGAGTTGTAATATTGTGTCTTATTTTCCCTAATTTTAAAGTTAACTTGGTTTTTAAGATTTTTAAAGTTAAACCAAGCTGATTCCTCGTTAGTTAATACAGCAATTCGTTTCAAGCGATCCCTCTCCCACATCAAATGTTTGATCTCAATAGTTAACCAGGGTGCACAAGTTTTCCTAACTCGTCGTTTTTTAATTGGAACATGTAAGTCTGCAATATTGAGAAATGTAGATTTCCAAAGATCCCATGCCTTGACAGGATCAGTTACTAATGATATTGACTGCCAAGCAGCTAGGTCTATATCACGCTTAAAGTTTTCGATACTGAAATGCTTATAGTAGCGATTTTCTAGTATTTTGGGTTTTGATCTGCATCGGTCGCAATGTTTTCTTGAAGCATATATTAGACTATGATCACTTATCCCAATATGTTTAACTCCTGATATGGAAAATTTAATTGGTTCATTTGTGAGGAGAAGATCAATTAGTGTGGACGAACTACTAGTGATACGCGTTGGTTCCTGGATAAGTTGACTATACTGGTACAATTCACATAAATCAAGTAAATGTTTTGTATTATTATCGACATTGTTGGCTGCAACATTGCAATTTAGGTCACCAACAATAGTCGATTCGATGTTCAATGACTCGATTTTTTCAAGAATTACATGAAATTTGTCAAAAAGTTCGACAGGTGAATTAGGTGGCCTATACCATGTTGATATAAGAAAAGGTTTAATTTTAGGTTTGGTTATTTCAATACACAGAAACTCAAGGCCATCGTCTTTAAGATCGTCACGGATTTTATACTCAATTGTACTTCGAATATATATTGCAACACCACCACCGTGTCTTGTTCGGTCACGGCGAATGATTGTATAATTATTAATGCCAATTTCAAGATTGCTTATTGTACTATCAAGTCGTGTTTCATTTAAAGCCAAGACGTCAATGGTTTGCTCTTTCATGTTTATCCGTAGCTGATCAATGTGTTTTACTAAGCTTGCAATGTTTAAGGAAGCGATTTTGAAACCTTTGAGTTTAGATATACCAAAATCGTATTGTACTGCTTTACTAGGGATGGTTCTAGTTTGGTCTGTGGAATTTGGAGGCTTAATCGAATTACCTGTGTCCGCTAATCAATTGCTGATATAGTCAGTGATGTTTTTGGCAACAACTGTGGTGCCTTTACGATTTAAGTGTAAACCTCTAGCATTTAGGCAAGACGGGTCAATAGACTTATGGTCTAAAAAGTCCCATTTGTTATGTTGACAAAACGATTTAATCATATTATTAGTAGCCTTAATTTTACTTGACAACCCGGGCTTGTCAGTTCTGGGTAAAATACCTGATAGTGCAACCTTCGTTCTTGGGGAGTCTTGACTGATTTGCGTTCCAAGATTTGCAACTCCTTTGGCGATTTGTTGGGCAGTCAGATGGTTGATGTCATTAGTTCCGACATGTAGAATGATTTTGCTGGGTTCCCTCCGGATAATTGGCTTAAGATAGTCTTCCATGTCAGAGATAGTGGATCCCGAAAAACTCTTGACTACAACATGATTATTAGAATCAGACAACCGCCAACCTTGGATGTTTTTGACGATGGAGTCCCCGGCTATTATAGTGGTTTTCTTTTTAAATTTTTCATTCTGCAAGTTGGCATCTTGATTCTCATTTACATTTTCTTGCATGGGTGGGTTTTGGGGCATTGCACCTACGCTTGCATTTTTCGTCATAGCCGATTTCTTGGTTTGTTTCTTCTTTTTATTTGTTATTTCTTCAGGGACTGATATTAATTCTCCGTCGTCATCGTCGGTCGAAGGCACTTCAGTACTTCTGGATTAACTGGCTTAATTTTTCGAAATGTTTGTCTTCAAAGCTAGCGTAGACTGAGTTGATTGAGACTCATTGGGTGTATCAGCCGTAGAATTCCCACGAGAGTATTCATCATTGATAATCTTGATGGTCGTTACTAGAGATGCTTTCTCGTCTTCGAGATCTTTGATTTTTGTGTTCAGATCTGATACGATATAGGACACAGTATATGCTTCGTGAACTTGAATCTATTGATTGGAACACGATAATTATGAATAGCCATAACCTAGATGAGATAACCCTAAAATTTTATGAAATAATATGGCCAAAATTCGATAAGAGCTTCCCACTAATTAAGGTCAGAACGTCATCACGCGACCCTCCGTTCATGTCTCCTCTTGTGAACCACCTTCTGAATCAAAGGAAAAGAGCCATACAAAACGGAAATACTGAAGCAAATACACGATTGCAAGAAAAAATCAACAAGTTAATTCGGGAAAATCAATTAAGTGCAGTCAAACAGGAGTTTGGCAACCAGAAAACTGGATCGAAAAGTTGGTGGTCTAACGTAAATAGCATTACATCGAGAAAAAAGAAACATGATGTATCTGTAAGTGCTTCTCTTAACCCTAGTGAAATTAACAAATATTTTCAAAGTAAGAGTTAATTACCGAGAACGAGGTTTCTTAGCGAGATACAACCCGAGGGGCGTATCCCGAAGAAAGCAAAGATTCTAAATTTGTTTTCAATAGGGTTTTATTTGGGTAAGAATCTAAAAGCAAGTGGAGGGAATTTGACATCTCTATAGGGAAAAGGGGGGTTGATGAATAGAATTCAATTGAATTGATGATTAAATATTCACCAGGTTTTATCTAAGTATATAAAACCTGATTTTTGCGGGTTTTATATATATATAACCCGCAAAAATCCGGGTTTTATATAGATAAGACCCGTGAATTTATAATTATTAATTCAATTCTATTCATCAACCCCACTTTTCCCTGGAGAGATATCAAATCCCTCCCCTTGCTTTAAGAATCTTACCCAAATAAAACCCGACTGAGAACAATAGAAATCCGCACAAATTTGAACTAAGTGTGAATACAGACCCAAATTATACGACTCCCGAGCCTCTTCAAATCTCCGAAGGAACAAGAATTCCCTCGTTGTCAATTCATGAAGTTCAACATCTTTTACGCAATCAAAAACGCTCTTCATCGGGTCCGGACAATCTGCCATATTGGTTTTGGAAATCGTTTGCTATTGAATTAGCTCCTATTGTCACAGAAATTTTTAACATGTCACTAAAAACCAGCAAAGTACCTCAGAAATGGAAATCCGCGAATTTATTACCACTCCCTAAAGAATCACCATTAAATTCGTGTAACCAGTTAAGACCAATCTCTCTGACGGACATCATCATGAGACTATTCGAGAAGTGCGTGTATAAATCTGAAATCGAACCTATCACAAGAAATAACATTGGTCCTGACCAATTTGCTTATAAAAAGGGTCACAACTCGACTATGGCTCTGATTAAATCCCAACATCAATGGCTAGAGTGGCTGGATAAAAACGCTAATTATGGTAGAGTGCTGTCGTTCGATTTCAGCAAAGCATTTGACAGTGTGCCCCACGATCTTTTGTTTGAAAAAGTTAAAAAGCTACCCATTAATCCGTATGTGGTGAACTGGTTAATTAGCTTTCTAGAAAATAGAATACAAAGAGTAATGGTTGATGGAATGGTTACAGAATATTTATATATTAATCGTGGTGTCCCTCAAGGTACTGTTTTAGGCCCAGTTCTTTTCTCAATAATGGTTGATGATATTAAAACTGCTGATCCTAGTAATGCGTTAGTCAAATTTGCTGACGATTTGACGTTAGGAGTGCCTGGCAACGAAAGTGGTGACACATCTCGATCTGAAGCTGCCTGTTTACAGGATTGGGCGGAAGAGAATAGAATGCCCTTAAACTTGGAAAAAACGTACGAAATGGTTGTTCGCAGACACACCTCTGTAGTTTTGCCCGAGCTTATCCCTTCAATTAAGCGAAAAACATGGCTAAAGCTTTTAGGAGTTACTCTACAAGATAACCCGTGCAACTGGGATTTGCACTTTGAAGAAATGCTCAAAAAAGCAAGTGGACGAATGTACATTATGAGAGTTTGCAAATACTATGGACTATCAATTAAACAATTAGATCTGCTGTTTGATAGCCTAATTATGTCGATATTCACTTTTGCTATTGAGCTGTGGGGTTGTGCATACGACGGTAAATATTTGAACCAAATAGATAAATTTATTAAACGTGCACATAAGAATGGTTATATATCAAAACGAACACACATTAAAGAAATACGTGATAAGAGAGATAAGAAACTGTGGAACAAAATAACATCAACTGAGGACAATGCATTGCTTGAACTGCTGCCGGAAAAAAGAAGTAGGTTACTTAGGCCTAGAGGGCATGAGTATGAACTCCCCCTAGTGAGAACAGAAAGATTCAAAAGGTCGTTCATAAATCGTTGTCTGTATAACTTTGTTTAGACTTTAATCTATTTAGACTTTAATCTATTAAAAACTTTTTAAAACTTTTTACGCTTCTTAACTTACAATTGTAAATATAACTAGATCAATTACTTTTCGATTGTAAACTCAGACGGATGTATCTGAGCATTTTAATAAAGACTATTATTATTATTATTATTAAACTCGGAAAGCCGCCGTTGGCTAGGCGAAAATCTAGCCTTGACTTGCAGGAGCAGGCTTAGCAACTGAAATTAAAGCTTTGCAAAATCAAAAACATTTTTCAACAATCAAAAACATTACGTCGAAAACAGTCCGTCACATAATGGAGGACGACATTCCACTTCGCTACGCTCTCAAATACCCGGAAATCTACCCTTCACCTATAGCAGCAGCAGGCTTAACCAAGCCGTAACGGGCGCGTCCTCTGTCACTCCTGGTTAGTTAATTGTATTTGTACATATATATAGAGAATACATGGGCGCGCGGAAATACCAGATTTATTTCGAGTGTTGAACATGATATCTCACGAGTAAGCGCAGCGAACGAGTGAGATATCATGTTCAACACGAGAAATAAATCTGGTATTTCCAAGCACCCATGTATTTCTCTGTTTATTATATAAACAAAATTCAGTGAAAAACAATAAAACGTCCGTGGCAACGCGTTTTACAACAAATGTTATTTTCATACGTAAAAATATCGTATTTTTTACGCGTGTTTAAATACGATTTTTCTCAGTGGCCAAAAACTCTATTTTACACTTATGTTTATATAATAATATAACATAATTTTATGGATTTCTACTGACCTGCGCAATTCGTTCCATCGCCTGTGTAGCCAGTGTCGCAAGTACATAGGTATGACCCTTCTGTATTAGTACATGTTGCTTGAGCGTGGCAGATGTTTGATTGCGAACATTCGTCGATGTCTAAATAGAACAATGATTTCATTAAATTTTCCAACACACATGGAAAGCATGATGAGAAATAAAGAAGACTTTCCTGACGATCAAACGGGAAATGTCCCAACATTCTAGTGGGCTAAGTCGTCTCTGAGAGAATGAAGGAAAAAGCAATGCACTTACCGCAACATATTCAAATCTATTAAGTAGTGAGTGAAGTCCTAAATCATGAGTAACATAGGAATTGATGTTGCCTTGTCGCAGCAACCTTTGTGCAAATTAGTTACAGAGAGTAAGAAATGGAAGAAAGCGTTTTGCATTTCTGTAAATTTTTCTATGAAATTTAAATTTGCAAGATACACTGAAAAACAGCAAGATAGAACTGAATTTAAAGCTATGCAAAATAAAAAATTTTTTTGGCGCGAGCTTGTACTCGCGCATTCGCACATAACGTCGAAAACGGTCTATCACGTAATGGAGGACGACTTTGCACTTCGCTACATGTTCTCAAATACCCGTGTGTAAATAGCAGAGCGAAATTACTACTGTCGTCTCGGGCTCACGCTCGGAAAAGTGCTTCGCGCCGTTGGCTCGGAGAAAATCTCCCCTTGGCATACAAGAGCAGGTTTAAGCAAGCCGTAAGGGGCGACCAGCTGTCACTCTTGGTTAGTTACTTGTATGTGTAGATAGTAAAACATTATTTTATAGCTTTCTACTGACCTCCGCAATTCGTTCCATTGCCTGTGTAGCCAGTGTCACAAGCACATAGGTATGACCCTTCTGTATTAGTACATATTGCTTGAGCGTGACAGATGTTTGATTGTGAACATTCGTCGATGTCTGAAACAGAACAATGATTTCATTAAATTTTCCAACACACACAAAGCATAATCGGAAGTTAAGAGGACTTTCCTGACGGCCAAATGTCTCAACATCCTAGTCACCTAAAACGTCTGTGAGGGAATAAAGGAATAAACAACAAACTTACCGCCAAATTATTATTTCAAACATTATTATTTGAAACGGTGAACAAATGTATTATTTGAAACGGCTGCGCTGTTATTATATTTTAGGAAATACATCATGTTTATTATGGCTTCGTCGTACCATATGCCTTGCTTGGACAGGAAATTACGAATTATTAAAGAAATACTGTATATCGAGACACGAAAACACCATCATGCATGCTTACAAGTAAAGTGGAACACTTTTGGGATGGATCTTTGCAAAAACCAGTGAAATTGTTTGTTCAAGACAAACTCGATTTAAAAGGAAAATGGTCTTCCCCTGGCGGCAAAGTAAAACTATTCGTGAATTTAAATTTAAGTATTTATTTATTTATTTATTTATTAACTTCAGCCGTCAACAGAAATATAAACATATGCAAACAGGAAGACGGTTCAGGAACACTAACACAGCGTGAGCCAAATTACGTTAGTGACCTGTTACAAAACATCATTATACAAAACTTCACAACTTATAATTTAAATATCAAACAAGAATATAGAATAATCCTTTTTATCCGAAGTAGAGAGAGAGAGCATAAATATTTCAAAATTTGGAAAAACAAAAAAACAAAATTGTCAAACAGAATAAATGCGAGACTATATATAGATTCTGTATCCGTCGATAAAATAAGACGAAAAACGCAACTCTGAATAATTGAATAATTGCCAAAATAACTACAATCCTGGTCAAAAACATTGGCGCACTTGACACTGACTGTGCGAAATTTGACTCCCACATCAATAACAAGCATAGCAAACCCCCTTCCCCCGTTCAATGTTGTGTGTAGTGTGTTATACGTCCAAGGTGTTACACAACATTGATAAGGGGGATAGGGGGTGTTTGGACATGAAATTTTGCATAAAATGGACAAGTATGTATATGGTAGTCAGTAATGAAGTGAAGGTTATGCTATTTCGACTAAGTGCGCCAAGAATTTTTGACCAGGATTGTCTGAATGTGCATTATCTTACAATTTTACTTTCATGTCATCAAAATACATTGGCCTTAATCCTTGAATCGTTAGTGAACCTTTAATAATGTTTTGCATATTAATAACGTGCGTCTAAATAAATAATAAACATTTATAATATAATAACAATAAAATATAATAATAATGACATATTAAAGTACGCTATTTGATACATGTATCCTTTTTTTGTATTTTCACTTT